TGCGTTTGTTTAAGCTGTTTTCTAGTGACATTTATTTGGATACATCCATAACAATGAGCTAATGATGTGCGATTTCACCTGGCATAGAAAATGTGCTCTCTCGTCAGGACACTGTTGTTCAGAGGAGCTAGCCAACAACACAGCTAACACAATCACTTCAAACTGAAGCTGAAAAGACAGCAAACTAGCTGCATTTTGTTTTGTTTTACCTGTTTCTATTGACATTTCTTTGTATATATCCATAAAAATTATGCCAGCTGATTTCATGATTTCGACTGGCTGAGAAAAGCTGTCTGCCTGTCTGTCTCATCCCGACTCCCGACACGTTCATTACTATGGGACAGCTGGAGATCGAATTTCAATATTGAAACAATGTTCATTACTATAGGACAGCTGGAGATTGAATTTCAATAGTGAAACAATGTTGCAAATGTCGGAGAGACAGACAGCAAGGTTTATACAAATCTCCGCTGTTGAGATATAAATGTTAGTCTAAAAGAAATGGGAGATCATGTCTAGAAGCTTTTTATAGTGGAGATCAAGTTTATAAATTGCCTGGCTGGGCTGATGAGACAGTGGATTGTGCAGTGAGATGGAACCGATAAATAGGCATTTCAACATCATAGCTTTAGCCAGTGGTAACTTGTGGAATAGACACCGGCTGGAATGTGGTTTTAACCAATCAGCATCCAGGATTAACCCACCCATTGTATAATGACAGATTGTGTAATGCATTGCAATTTTTGTCAATAAGCACACCACTAAATCTGAATTCCTTGATGACTGTGAGGGAAGAACTATGACCAAATGTAAAGTGGGTTTAGGTGCAAAGTCAGAGCTAGCACTAGTAAATGATCCAGGGCTAATTCCGTTAGGATTTTGGCATGTTTTTCTAGATTGGCTTGTTTTTCAGTAGATTTGAAAATGCGATGGAAACCCATTTAACCTCTATTTTTTATTTGGTACATGGGAATTTAACCACAAAAGGTATTTTTATGTGCAGTACATCATCATGCACAGACTTGTATCTGCACCAAGTGAATTTGATGGAAACACATCTCTGGTGGGAAAATGTGCATCATTGTTTTTATGCTTATTTTTTAATATTCACATGAAAATCTGTCCCAATTGGATGGAAACCTAGCTACTGACGGAGTTGACAAGCCACTGACTGAGTTGACAACAGATACTCAAAGCAGACATATTTTTGCCCTCTGAAAATAAAACTTCCAAAGAAACATTTGTAAAATACGGAAAATTATTCATTTGAAAATCCCCAATAAAACAAAATCATTCTATCAGATCTTTCAGCACTCTGACCGAGTTGACGTTAGACAAAAATCTGATGGAGTTGATGTTTTACGGCACTGTTTTTAATAGCAATGGAATTAGAGGTGTGGAATAGTTCATCATACACTGAGGCTGAGGTGATTGACTTGAACACTTAACCACAAAAATCACTTTGTTCTTTTGCAGTCACATATTGATAAAAAGATGAGGAAAAAACAGGTAGCTGCTGTTAGGCAGTTGTATAAGATGGAGGTGACAGGACACTTGACACCTAAGCTCCTCTAAAAAGAAAAAGATGGTGTTGTAAAGAGTAGTGAACCAGACAGCATCATGCTCCTGCTCAGAATTTCTGAGTACAAGGAAGGGTTTCTCAAAATACTGTATAGCCTCATTCTACTAATAAACATGACACACCAACTTCAGAGCTCAATGTAGTCACAATGCATTCAAAATCCACTTGAGGCCATAAGTGGACCATCAATTATTACAGATTTATAGTATTAATTTCTATATTGAGGCCACATTCCTACTATGCAACAGATTTATCTCTCTGGACAGTTTTATTGTTCACTTGATATTCAGCAAATCCCCCGGTAGCCGAAGATATACAATGCCTTCAGAAAGTATTCACACCCTTTGACTTTTTCCACATGTTGTGTTACAGCCTGAATTTAAAATGGATGAAATGTAAATGTTGTGTCACTGGCCTACACACAATACACCTTAATGTCAAAGTGGAATTATGTTTTTAGAAATGTGTAAAATTAATTAAAAATGAAAAGCTGAAATGTCTTGAGTCAATAAGTATTCAACCCCTTTGTTATGGCAAGCCTAAATAAGTTCAGGAGTAAGAATTTGCTTAACAAGTCACATAGTAAGTTGCATGGACTCACTCTGTGTGCAATAATAGTGTTTAACATGATTTTTGAATGATTACCTCATCTCTGTACCCCACACATACAATTATCTGTAAGGTGCCTCAGTTGAGCAGTGAATTTCAAACACAGATTCAACCAAAAAGACCAGGGAGGTTTTCGAATTCTTTGCAAAAAAGGTCACCTATTAGAAGATGGGTAAAAATTCAAAAAGCAGACATTGAATATCCCTTTGAGCGTGGTGAAGTTATTAATTACATTTTGGATGGTGTATCAATACACCCAGTCGCTACAAAGATAGTTCTTCCTAACTCAGTTGCCGGAGAGGAAGGAAACCACTCAGGGATTTCACCGTAAGTCCGATGGTGACATTAAATGGCTGTGATAGAAGAAAACTGAAGATTGATCATCAACATTGTAGTTACTCCACAATACTAACCTAAATGACAGAGTGAAAAGAAGGAAGCCTGTACAGAATAAAAAATATTCCAAAACATGCATCCTGTTTGCAATAAGGCACTGAAGTAAAACTGCAAAAAAAATGGCTAAGAAATTAACTTGATGTCCTGAATACTAAGCGTTATGTTTGGGGCAAATCCAACACAACACATCACTAAGTACCACTCTTTATATTTTCAAACATGGTGGTGGCTGCATCATAGTATGCTTGTCATCGGCAAGGACTAGAGATTTGTTTAGGATAAAAAGAAACGGAATAGAGCTAAGCACAGGCAGAATCCTAGAGGGAAACCTGGTTCAGTCTGTTTTCCAACACACACTGGGGAGACAAATTCACCTTTTAGCAGGACAATAACCTAAAACACAAGGCAAAATATACACTGGAGCTTGAAGAATTTCTTTAAGAATAATGTGCAAATATTGTACAATCCAGTTGTGCAAAGCTCTTAGAGACTTACCCAGAAAGACTCAGAGCTGTAATCGCTGCCAAATGTGATTCTAACATTTATTGACTCAGGGGTGTGAATACTTATGTAAATTAGATATTTCTGTATTTCATTCTCAATAAATTTGCAACAATTTCTAAAAACATGTTTTCACTTCATCATTATGGCATATTGTGTGTAGATGGGTGATTTAATTTTTATTTCTTATTAATCCAATTTGAATTCAGGCTGTAAGACAAAATGTGGAATAAGTCAAGGCGTATGAATACTTTCTGAAGGCACTGGACATTTTTTAAAACATTTTAGTCATTTAGCAGACAATCTTATCCAGAGCGACTTACAGTTAGTTATTTTTATATTTTTTATTTTACATACTGGCCCCCCGTGGGAAACGAACCCACAACCCTGGCGTTGCAAACGCCATGCTCTACCAACTGAGCTACATCCCTGTCGGCCATTCCCTCCCCTATCCTGGACGACGCTGGGCCAATTGTGCGCCGCCCCATGGGTCTCCCGGTCGCGGCCGGCTACAACAGAGCCTGGATTCGAACCAGGATCTCTAGTGGCACAGCTAGCACTGCGATACAGTGTTAAAGTTATGATACAATACACGACCAGAAGTATGTGGACACCTGCTCATCGAACATCACATTCCAAAATCATGGGCATTAATATGGAGTAGGTCCCCTCTTTGCTGCTATAATAGCCTCCACTCTTCTGGGAAGGCATTCCACTAGATGTTGGAACATCACTGTGGGGACTTGCTTCCATTCAGCCACAAGAGCATTAGTGAGGTCGGGCACTGATGTTGGGCAATTAGGCTTGGCTCACAGTCGCCGTTCCAATTCGTCCCAAAGGTGTTCGATGGGATTGATGTCAGGGCTCTGTGCAGGCCTGTCAAGTTCTTACACACCGATCTCGACAAACCATGTTTTGTGCACGGGGGCATTGTCATGCTGAGACAGGAAAGGGCCTTCCCCAAACTGTTGCCACAAAGTTGGAAGCACAGAATCATCTAGAATGTCATTGTATGCTGTAGCGTTAAGATTTCCCTTCACTGGAACTAAGGGGCCTAGCTCCAGACCATTATTCCTCCTCCACCAAACTTTACAGTTGGCACTATGCATTGCAGGTAGCGTTCTCCTGGCATCCGCCAAACCCAGATTCATTCGTCAGACTTACAGATGGTGAAGCGTGATTCATCACTCCAGATTCCAATGGCGGCGAGCTTTGCACCACTCCAGCCAACGCTTGGCATTGCGCATGGTGATCTTAGGCTTGTGTGCGGCTGCTCGGCCATGAAACCCATTTCATGAAGTTCCTGATGAACAGTTATTGTGCTGACGTTGCTTCCAGATGTAGTTTGGAACTCAGTAGTGAGCTTGTTTGGCCTACCATTTCGCGGCTGAGCTGTTGTTGCTCCTAGACGTTTCCACTTCACAATAACAGCACTTACAGTTGACCGGGGCAGCTCTAGCGGGGCAGAAATTTGACGAACTGACTTGGTGGCATGCTATGACGGTGCCATGTTGAAAGTCACTGAGCTATTCAGTAAGACCATTCTACTGCCAATGTTTTCCCATGGAGATTGCATGGCTGTGTGTTTGATTTTATACACCTGTTAGCAACGGGTGTGGCTGAAATAGCCAAATCCACTAATTTGAAGTGGTGTCCAAATACTTTGTGAATAGATAGTGTATATTCCATATCTGAAGTTAGTATTCCACACACATTCAAATGTTTGTGAGAACCACTACTGTACTATCCTTGATCTGTTAATGTATTGGTGCAAATTGTTGTTTTGGGTGGAATTTATATGGATTTATACGTACAGAAGACAAACCCACAGAAAATAGGTCAGTTGTACCACTAGGGGCCATCTTCTATTGAGTGATCTTCAGTTTATATGGCAAGAGGAATGATGAATGAACTAAACAAAAGCACAGAGAACCCACTCACCGTCCTCTCGAGACTTCTGTATGAAGGCATCCACGCCGCTCTCTCCATAATTCCCCTCCGACGCCACAGTGGAGATGAAGTTCCAGCGCATGGCCTTGACAATATCCACCATGGCCTGTGCCTGGTAGGTGTCTGGGGGCACCACGCGCGAGAAAAAGTCATAACGTGTGTTGTCGCTCAGCTCCGGGGCCGTGGAGGCATAACTCACCTGGGGGATCTGAGGAGAGAGGGAGAGAGGGAAGAAGGGATGAGTTAAGATGGAAAAGAGGCAAATAAGTCATAGGAGGAGGAAGGGGGTGGGGACGGAGGGAGAGCGGAACAGCAAACATACTGCAGGGGTCTCCTTTAGACAATGGGGGGGGGGGGTTTGATAAAGTGTGTGCAAGAATTGATGACTTACCGTCCTATTTTTGTGGGTGTGACACTATGGGAAGGGAACCCTGATACTAAAAACATCTCTGATTTCCCGCTGGATCCAGCTTTCCATCTCATCCACAGCTAGGTGGTTCATTATCATGGGCAGCAAGCTCAGAGGCACACTCAATCTGACCCATTGCTATCCTGCTGCCAAGTAAACACCCACCACAGACCCATACCAAACCTATCTGGGCAGCCATTGGACTGAGACACCGACTCAGGATTGTGTCTCCCTATCTGTTGGCACCATGTCCTCTCTGGATCCTTGTCATGTTTTACCAATGTTGAGTGGAAGATGAATTCTAAAATGACTAGCATTGTTAGTTCAGTGGCCTTGTCGTTAGTGGCCACCCTGAGATTAGAAGGTTGGGGGTTTTGATCCCCGGTCGAGTCATACCAAAGACTCTAAAAAGGGGGTGTCCTGGTACATTCCTCACGCTACAGAAACAGGAGATAGGCTCCTGCCCTATGGGCCATTCTGGAAACACAATGTCTTGTCATTTTAGTCAAATCACTGTTATTGGAGTTCTACAAACAACAACTTTTCATTTAAATCATGATTTTTTTACACATCATTTCCCTACCACACTTTTTAAAAACAATTAGACAATTTGTTATGACACCAGTTCAGCACTAATTACACCCATTACAAGCCTAACACGGCTCTCCACTTGCAATCTGTGCATCAGACAACACTTAGCTGTAATTTAGCTATGGTCCTGGTCAGTGGATGTTACTGTTCTTTATCTAAAGTGAACTGAGGCCTACATGTTTCAGTAGTAGCAACAGTAGGTTGATGGTGTTGGCCGTCACACACCACAACCAGTCCTGCTTGAGTACACTCAAGCCATAGCTGAGTTTGAAAAGTATCCAAAGAGACCAGTTAGAGGCCGAAGTCCCTGAAGTGCTCCAGCACGACCCAAAAGATGCTTTGGCCCTATTTCTCTGATGTAGTAGTGGTCTTGCAATGAAGTATACAATAATAGACCTGTGTAACCCACAGTACTGTACTGTACTGTATGTGGGTAGACTCAGGAAGTAGAGTTGATAGTTGAAAAACTGCACTGCTACTGCAGTAGTTAGCATCAATAAAGTGTTCACCAAAAAACAAGGGAAAGGGAAATGTTTCACACAGTACACAAAAATTGTATGAGCAGACCCAGAATTGTTACATAGGGTGCCAGCAGTATTCTCAGCTGAATTTCATGGTGTCTGTAAGGTGCCGAGTATAGTTAGTTCCAGCCCCAAGAACAGGGATCAATTTTAAATGTTTCTAATGCTTTGTTGGTTGGTATTAACCTTGCGATAGGGGGTTGACTGCCCGTGATGTTGTTGTAATTAAAGGAGGACAGCTAATTAGTGGATGAAACCGCTTTTCTTCCACAGACCGGAGGATGCCAATGTCCTGATCGGCAGTATAAGCCTACTGTTTGTTACTTTCCATTATGTCTTACCAACATACATTTTACATTTTAGTCATTTAGCAGACACTCTTATCCAGAGTGACTTACAGTTAGTGAGTGCATACATTTTCATACAATATAGTAAAGCAAGATTGCTAATGGTCACAAATTATACCAGCTAAATTAGATAAGAGTAATTCATATTCTAAGAAATCTCTCTCTAAGAAATGCATCTGTATCCATATAATCCACATATAATTGTCTATAGAGTACACCTACAAAATTAAGGCAAAGCAGGTTTTAATACACTTAAAATGCCTTCACGTTAATGGCAGTGAGATTGCCTTGCAGGGACTGTGATATGAAAATGTACATTCTAAAAACATTTAACAAGACTAGGTCAACGAAAGAGGACATAGACATAACATTGAACATTTAAATGTAACATTTAAAAACACTTAGCTACGTCAAATTCTCTAGTCAGGAATAGCTAATTTGAGATGCTCAAAACATTTAAAAGTGTTGTAATCCCTCCCAAATAAGCCAAGATGTGTCTGTATAGGCCAAGTAGGTATTGAGTTGATGGGGTCTTTGAACTGTGACCACAGGGAGTTGATGGGGTGTGTCAGTGTTAAGGCTATGGCATCAATGCATCAATATTTATCCTAAAGTTGTATCCCACATATTTTTTAACATGGCATACAAATGTAATGGCTGCTAGTGTAAAACTGGAAACAGATTTGAAAGGGTGATTATTGTGAATTACTATTAACCGTCTTTTCCTTGGGTGCCATTCCTGCAAAATCTTCGCATTCTGAAGCATTAGACCTGGGTTCATCAACTAGGTTTGGCCTTGGGCCAAATATTTTCTCAGCTAATAGTCGGCGGGCCAGAACATAATTAGTATATAATATTAGCACAATTAATTAGCCTACACTACAGATTAAACAACATTTTTAACACATCTGATTAGTACATAATAAACTCAGTGGCAATAACATAATAATGTAGATCTCATTATGCTCATAAAATCACCATGTCTCTATTCAATTATTATTTTTGTCTATTTCTATGTGCATTGATTGGTGGGGAAAAACAGGTCTACGTAGCCTACTTTAGGTAACCTATTGTTTTTAAATTCAACATTTTTTCAGAACAATTAGCTTGTTAGCAAGAGAAAATGTAGCTCTCAAAAAGTATCAAAAGAAAGGTGGCTAATGAAAATCATGGTTTCAGGGAAGAATGTACAGAGAGATACAATGCCTTCGGAAAGTATTAAGACCCCTTGACTTTTTCCACATTTTGTTACGTCACAGCCTTATTCTAAAAAATTGAAAACAATGTTTATTTCCCTCATCAATCTACACACAATACCCCAAAAACTGTTTTTTAGAAATGTTTAATAATAAACAAATAGAAATAAACTGAAATATCACATTTACATAAGTATTCAGACCCTTTACTCAGTACTTTGTTGAAGCACCTTTGGCAGTGATTACAGCCTCGTGTCTTATTGGGTATGACACTACAAGCTTGGCACACCTGTATTTGGGGAGTTTCTCCCATTCTTCTCTGCAGACAAGAACATCTGTCAGGTTGGATGGGGAGCGTTACTGCACAGTTATTTTCAGGTCTCTCCAGAGATGTTTGATCAGGTTCAAGTTCAGGCTCTGGCTGGGCCACTCAAGGACATTCAGAGACTTGTCCCGAAGCCACTCCTGTGTTGTCCTGGCTGTGTGCTTAGGGTCGTTGTCCTGTTGGAAGGTGAACCTTCGCCCCAGTCTGAGGTCCTGAGCACTCTGGAGCAGGTTTTCATCAAGGATCTCTCTACTTTGATCCGTTCATCTTTGCCTCGATCCTGACTAGTCTCCCAGTCCCTGCCACTGAAAAGCATCACCACAGCATGATACTGCCACCACCATGCTTCACTGTAGGGATGGTGCCAGTTTTCCTCCAGATGTGACGCTTGGCATTCAGGCCAAAGAGTTCAATCTTGGTTTCATCAGACCAGAGAATCTTGTTTATCATGGTCTGAGAGTCTTTAGGTGCCTTTTGCCAAACTCCAAGAGGGCTGTCATGTGCCTTTTACTGAGGAGTGGCTTCCATCTAGCCACTCTACCATAAAGGCCTGATTGGTGGACTGCTGCAGAGATGGTTGTCCTTCTGGAAGGTTCTCACATCTCCACAGAGGAACTCTAGAGCTCTGTCAGTGACCATCGGGTTCTTGGTCACCTCTCTGACCAAGGCCCTTCTCCCCCGATTGCTCAGTTTGGCCGGGCGGCCAGCTCTAGGAAGAGTCTTGGTGGTTCCAAATTCTTCCATTTAAGAACGATGAAGGCAATTGTGTTCTTGGGGAGCTTCAATGCTGCAAAAATGACACAATCCTGTCTCAGAGCTCTATGGACAATTCCTTCGACCTCATGGCTTGGTTTTTGCTCTGACATGCACTGTCAACTGTAGGACCTTATATAGACAGGTGTGTGCCTTTCCAAATCATGTACAATCAATTGAATTTACCACAGGTGGACTCCAATCAAGTTGTAGAAACATCTCAAGGATGATCAATGGAAACAGAATGCACCTGAGCTCAATTTAGAGTGTCATAGAAAAGGGTCTGAATACCTACACTACCAGTCAAAAGTTTGGACACCTACTCATTCAAGGGTTTTTCTTTATTTTTACATTGTAGAATAATAGTGAAGACATCAACTATGAAATAACACATGTGGAATCATGTCGGAATACTTATGTATTTCTGTTTTTTATTTTTAATAAATTTGCAAACATTTCTAAAAACCTGTTTTCGCTTTGTCATTATGGGGAAATTGCTGAGGGAAAACAAATATTTAATCAATTTTAGAATTGTGTCACTTAAACGGGTTAAATCTCCAGTTAAAAGGAAGAGGGAAAACAGTTGTGGACATGGTGGAACATTTTGAGGCCTTTACTAGGAAGCTTGAGTTGTTCGATTTGAACACTGAAGAACGACAGGCAGAGGGACCAGACAACTTCTCCACCAGATGTGAAGACTACACAATGCCCAAGGACATCACTGTGTTTGCATGTGATCCTCTCACAGTCCGCCCAGGTGGAGAATTATCCTCCCTTGCTAAGAAAACGATACCCTCACTGGATGAGGCCGCAATTCAAACTGAGCTGATTGAATTCCAGACATCGAGCCATCTCAGGGATGCACTCAGGAGTGCTGAGTCCTTGTGTGCGTTTTGGGTGGCATGCTCAGAGAAATACAGCACAATAAAGAAACTTGCATTTTATGTACTAACAATGTTTGGATCGACTTACACCTGCGAGTCCTCATTTTCCTCTATGAACGTAGTATAGACTCACGACAGGAACTGGCTTTCACGTAAGTCCATCGAGGACTGCCTGCGCATCAAAATCACATCCATTTCACGCAACATCCACAAGATCGTGTCCGAGGGGAACTTTTCCCATTGAGTAAGTAACTTGGCCTATATGACTGTAATTAGTAAATACTAACATTATTGTGAGTGCTTATCCAGGGATATGTAGGTCTCAAGCTGACAGTAATTTCTGTTCATTCTGTCGTTACAAGAGCAACCTATCCCGATACAGACATCGCCTTTTTTTCTTTAAATCATTTTTTTATGTAAGATGTTACAGTTTTGGCCAGTTGCAATTTGTAAATAGGCCTAATAAAAAAAAATCCCACTTGCAGTTGAAGTCAGAAGTTTACATACACTTGAGTTGAAGTCATTAAAACTTGAAGTCACACAAACTATCGTTTTGGCAAGTCGGTTAGGACATCTACTTTG